AATCTGCTGCCAGCTCCACTGGCCGTTGCTGGGCCACAACACCCACCGCCGCTCACTCTCCTCCCCCTGACACTCAGCCGCTCAGCAGTCCCATTTCCCCCAGCCAAGCATGGCCCAGTCAGAGGGGGGGGGGGAAGGGTCTTGGTTTGACCTTCACAGAAGACTGCAATGAGTTGCTTCCACATCTTAAAAGGTCTGCTTTCCCAGCTACATTAAGATCTCACAGGTTGGGCCTCCTCTGGGTGCCGTCGGCCGGACAATGCCGGCTGGCGGCCCCTCGGGAGAGGGCCTTCTCTGTAGCTGCTCCGGCCCTGTGGAATGATCTACCCGTAGAGATCCGAACCCTTTCCACTCTCTCGGCCTTCCGAAAAGCCACCAAAACCTGGCTGTTCCGGCAGGCCTGGGACTGTTGAACAATGTCCAGCCCCACCTAGACGGAATGGATGGTGTGTTGTTTTAAAATTGTATCTTTTTTATTTCTAATTTTTTTAAACTTTTATCTTGTCTCTCTAAGCTGCCCAGAGTCCTACGGGATTGGGCGGCATACAAATTTATTAAATTACCAAATTACATTGCTCCTTGGTTACCTCCAGTACAAAAGCCGTGAAGAAGTGGAGAGCAGCCATCCCCAGCAAGATCACTTTGAAGTTCAGGTCGCCGGCACTCTTCAGATGCAAGAGCTTTTGCATGAAGGTCAGCGGGTAGACGGTCAGCCAGATCATGACGCCAGCGAGCAAGAGCAAGGCCATCAAAAACGGCACTGAGGAGAGCGAGACGGAGACGAGGCTTTGGCAGGGCCAGGCAGAAGATGGGCTGCTCGGGAGGAAGAGGCCCGACTCGTCCTGGGCCTCGAGCTGGCAGAACTACTGAGCAGAAAACACTTACCGTTGGTATAAAGTGGCTTGCGGAAAGGGCGGCCTTTGGACACGACCACCGCCAGGATGAGGTACTGGAACCCCGAGGTGCAGAAGACAACGGTGTTCTCATAATTGGGGAGGTTTGCAGGGGCTGACAGAGTGCTGTTCAGAGGGGTGAACCTGAGAGGGAAGCGGGCAGGCGACTGAGACTGGGCTGGCGGCAACCCCACCCACCCCTGCCAGATTGCAGAGGCCGGAAAAAAGGCCGACCCCACAGCGGGCTGAGCTAGCCGAGGAACCGGCCTCCATTGGGCTGGGCCAAAGCAGCCAGAGAGCGTCAACTGCTGGGCTTCCTCTCTCTCTCTCCTCACTCACCATTGCTGAGAGACGGTGATGAAGTAGATGATGACCAGGACGGCGACGATGAGAGCCATCTGGAGGCAAAGGCTGCCCAGGACGGCAAGGCTGAGCAGGGCTCCCTGTGGGCGCTTGAGGCCCAAGTCCTCGGCAGGCCCCGTCTTGCCCATGAGGGCGACCATCGTAGTGGTGATGATGAGGTCGATGAACAGGAACTGCCCGTCGCTCAGGTTGGTGTTGAGCTAGACGAGGGGGAAGAGAAAGAAGGAGGGACAGAGGAAACAGAGAGATGCAATGGCCGCCGTGCCGAGGAGGGCCGAGCCTCTGCATCTCGGATGCTGGGGGAGCCCTGCTCGTTGACGTGGGTCACCTTCCCCTCTCTTGGGGTTCTCCCAAGAAACAGGAACCTCCTCCGGTCTGGAGTCATCCCAGCCAGGATGGGTCCTTCCCATCCTCGCCAGGTGTTCCAAACCAGGCCTCCCTAATTCTAGCACAGGGTGTCAAACTCAATCTAATTGAGGGGCGCATTAGTGCTGTGGTTGACCTTGGAGGCCAGGTGGGTGTGGCCAACGGGGTAGGTGTGGCCAATGGGGGCATGGCCAGCTTGACACCATTCCCCAAACTGCC